CTTACACACTTTAGGTGCTTAACAGGTAGAGAAGATAGATGCGGGCCAGGCAGCTTTGCCCTCTCTCACACTCTGCCTGGGAAGGGAGCTCAGGCCTCACAGAATTTATTTCCAGCTATGTCCAGGGTATGGCTATTAGCAGACTATCCCCGGCTCTGCTCTCCATCATGATGAACCATGAATGAGTAAAGGGATGGAGAAGGGGCCCTTGGGGTATATTGAGGGCACAGACCACAGCCTCTGCAGTCTCTGATGTCCCCGCCTCCAGGGTGTTTGAGCTGACCTGTAACATCCCTCTGGAGAAGGACCTGCACATTCAGCTGTTTGACTTTGACATGTTCTCAGCTGATGATGAGATCGGAACCACGATCATCGACTTAGAAAACCGACTCCTGTCTGGTTTTGGAGCTTGTTGTGGGCTTGCCAAATCCTACTTTGTGTGAGAATGGGCCTGTCCAGGGGATGGGGACAGGGGACTGAGACCACAGCTCCCTAGAGAGGGGCTGGGAACCAGGGCTAGCCCTGCCCTGTCTCCACCCACATTTCTATCCCTGGGCTTCCCGCAGCTCAAAGCAGCAGGCCGGGGAAGAGGGAGGACCCAGGACCACCTCCCCACTCATTGCTCACCTAACCACTTAGGTCAGGGCCCTTTATTTGGCGAGACCAGATCCGCCCAAGCTACCTCCTAGAGCGCTACACCAAGGGGAAAGGGCAGCCTCCGCCTGTGTTCAACCCAGAGGAAGACTCTGTTTTATACAATGGGGAAGAAATCAACCTGAAAACCTTTGGTGAGAAGCTCAGCACACCACCAGAACGCACAGACACAGGCCCCTCAAAGCAGAGAGGCTCCAGAATTCAAGGGCTGAAGATGGAGGGGAGACGGGGGAGGACAGGGAGCCATCACGGAGGGCAGCCCACCCTCTCCACATGCAATCCTGGCCCCCACCAGGCTGGTATGAGGGTGCCTAGGATAGGAGGATGAATGACCCCAAGATCCCTCCCCTCCACTCCAGAGCCCGAACCCCTTACTGTTCCTGGTTTGGGACCCAACAAGGAACGCCTTGCACTGCACATCCTGAATACCCTGGGCCTGGTACCTGAGCATGTAGAGACACGCACGCTGTACAGTAAGAGCCAGCCAGGCATCGACCAGGTATGAGCCTGGAGGGGCCACTCCCACCTCCTGAGGGCGAGCTGGACCAGGAGATAGGGGTGCCCACCCACCCAGGACAGAGCCCACCAAGGGGAAGAACATGACATTTGGATATGTATATGCACAGGAGACAAGCACGTTTTGCACATCATAGTGGAGAAGTTTGAGTGATGACACTTAGAATAGAGAATTTCAGAGCTGGAAAGTTATCTACAAGAAATGGAGGCCACACAGCAGTGAAAAGTGCTAGGGAGCCTTACCAGCCAACGCCCCCGTGGCCTAGTCTTTCCAGAGGGGTGGGGAGGAGACACCTCACATCAGTGTAGACATTTCAACCCTGGTTCTGATTAATTGCAGGCTGCTTACTCCATGGCAAGGAACCCCAAACAGAGGGACACAGATCCCCAAGGGCATCCTAATTATCCTTACCTTCCAGCTACCAAAATGGCTCAGCTAATTCTCCAAATCTCTCAAACTGAGGCTACATTCTACATAAAGTCCTTGCTGATCATTTTTTATAACCATTCTCATTAAACCTGTTTTGTCAACTGGGTCAACTTCCAAAGAACAAGATCAGGTCAGGTGGTTTGGAGGACAGATCATAATTACTCCTTTTCCAAGGCTGGCTTGCTGCCCTTTGACTTCTCTTTTTCACCATTTTCATCCCTTACCATTTTCCTGAAACCTCTGGGCTTTGTGGCCAGCTTCATTAATGTCTTAGGCTGTGGTCTTGAAACAAAATGACTGGATCGAGCACCCAGTTTACTCTTAACTGTGCTGCTTTAAAAAGTGAAGGCTCAACTCCCTTATGGAGCCTGTCCTCAGGTCACCCGGCACGCTCTGTTGAGTGGTTTTAAACCTCAGGATCTGTCCTAAGTGGAATCCTGGGCCACGTCATCAGCCTCGGAGACACCATACCCCACCACACTGCAGACTTCCCCAGCCAAAACAAAGGAAAAAAATAAAAACTGGAGGGTGGCCACCTGCCCCAACCCCCTGTGGTGGGAACAGTGCCTCATCAGACCTGAGAACAGAGGCCAGCAGTCCCAAACCAGAGAATCCACCCTGGCTCTAGGGAAAGTTGCAAATATGGGTGGACATCTTCCCCAAGAAGCTGGGGGCTCCTGGGCCTCAAGTCGACATCAGTCCCAGGAAGCCTAAACGGTGAGTGACAGCCCTGTCCCTACTGCACTGCGGTTTAGCCCCGAGGGTGCAGGGCACCACTGTCCTCCAACGCTGAGTGGGAGGAGCTCTTCTCTGTTGGGAACAGAGGAAGCTCTACTGGAGCTTTCTACCTCAGTCCCTCCAATTCAGCCAGAACATGGAGGGCGGTCTCCAGGCCTTTCCTTCCTCCAGGGCTGGGGCTGGGGAGCTATTTCTCAGCAAAGCTTCAGAGCACGGTGGCTGCAGGTATGAGCTGCGCTGCATTATCTGGAAAACTGCCCAAGTGGACCTGGTGCAGGAGACCTTCAGTAGAGAAAGGATGAGTGACATCTACATCAAAGGGTGAGGGGAAGAAAGAGGCTTCCAGCAGAGCCCCACAGTCTCCAGTGCTGACCCTGCCTGGGCTTCCTAATCTTGAGGGGGACACCTCTCCACTACCTCACCTGGAGGGAATGGGGAACCATACATATGAACCCAAAGTGAAAGGGCTCTGACCCCAGGTGGCTATTCGGGCTAGAGAAGGACATGCAGAAGACAGACATCCATTACCACTCCTTGACTGGGGAGGGCAACTTCAACTGGAGGTTCATCTTTCCCATGGACTACCTGGCAGCTGAGGGTGTGTGCATCCAGAGCCAGAAGGTAACAGGCCTGGGAGTGGGAGAAGAGGGGGCAGCCCCAGGGTCCAGGAGCTCCTCGTCCCCTCCCCAGAGACTAAGTTATGACAGGGGTACATCCTCAGATGGAGACTCTTCCTTGATAGTCCATCACTGCAGGGTGTGAGCTAGTAAGGTTTCTAAGGGAAATGCCAAGGAGGCAGGCTGGGGGACATACTCTTCTGCCATTTTCTAGGATTACATATGGAGCCTGGACCCCACATTGATGAAGTACCCAGCCCGGCTAATCATTCAGGTCTGGGACAATGACATCTTCTCTGCTGATGACTTCCTAGGTGAGGTCCTGGCACAGGGTATGTGACCACAGGTCAGGGAGCTCCTCCTTGCTGATGGCATTTCTCTGGTCTCAGGGGTCCTGGAGCTGGATTTGTCAGACATGCCCTTCCCAGCTCAGCATGCCCACTATTGTACACTCAAGATGATGGACAATACAAGCGCCCAATACAAGCACTTCTCCCTCTTTAAGAAGAAGGTTGTAACAGGATGGTGGCCTTGCCAGGTCTACAACGAGGACAAGTGGCGCATGTCGGTAGGAGCGGGGGAAGGTGTCAATTAAATAGGACTGCTCTGCCCCGTGACTCGGCTCTAACAGACTCCGGGGGACCTTAGCTAAATCCCTTTTCCTCTCTGGATGCTGGGATGTGGTCCTAAAGATACTTGCTCCTGATGACTTGAGCCTCCTGCCCTGTGGTGTTCCAGGGCAAGGTGAAGATGACTCTGGAGATCCTGACAGAGAAGGAAGCCCTCATCAGGCCAGCCGGGCGAGGCCAGTCGGAGCCCAACCAGTACCCCACACTCCACCCTCCCCCGTAAGGGCCCTGGGGCACAGTCTGTCTTCTCGGTTCTAGGAGGTAGTGAACAGGAGCCTCCACCTGGGGAGGGGTGGCTTCTTCCTTACCACAGCTCAGTTAAAATCAGGAGAATGGATTTGGGCGTGGGGGACACCCCCTCTTGGTTCTGCATCCTTGCCCTCTGTTCTTGGGCTTCTCCCTATCCTGGACAGACGTGCTGGTGGTCCTTTAATGTGGATGAGATCACCTATTAAAAACTTCTGCTTCGCTTGCTGGAAACGCTACCGATTCAGAATTGTAGGCCTCATGTTCCTATCAATAGCGGTATTCATGCTGTTCAAATTCATCTATGCAGCTCCGGTGAGTGGCTACCACAGGGACAGGGATAAAGGCACTGGTTGGTCTTGGGAAGACTCTGCAGAAGATGCCCTAGGGTTGCCACTTCAGACTAACTCCACTGTCTGTTCTCTCTAGAGCTATCTGGCCATGAACTTGATCAAACCTGAATTTCGGATGGGACCTCCCCCCATTAAAATAGTTAATGTCATGAATCCACAAAACCCAAACAAGCCTCCCAGCTCTGCTGCCTAGGATCCCATTCTACAGCCTTCAACAGATAATGAGCTGAAACCCCACCCTGGACCCAAGAATCACCCTAGTATTATCCTTCCAGAACTTCCAGCTCCATAAGACTAATTTGCCCACACAGGCCTGGCTTTTCTCCTCCCTGCCACGAGCCTTTCCCTCGGGCTTCCTACCAGGTCCTTGTTTCTGTCTTCTACGACACACACAAGGGCTAGGTATATTCTGGCTACTGTGCTCAGAAACCACTTCCAACAAGAGGAGCAGAGTTGTAATTTTCCACTGAAATAAACAAGTTTTATAAAGAGAGCCACCTTGTAATTTGGGGGGGAGGTAGTTGAAGACAACACGAAAGGCTGAAATCGTCAGCTCTTCAGACAAGACTCACGCTGATGTCACCTCTACACGTGCCCTCTAGACCTCAGGGTCTCTTTTGCACTGAGAAGCTTTGTCATCAGAGGAAATGAAGGGAAGGATGACTAGGAGACAGAATAAACTGTCCCAGATCAACAGCACGCCAAGTCCACTGCTGTCACCCCAAGTGTGCATGCCCAAGAGTCACCCCAGAGCAGGCGCCACCCTCCTACAGCATACACCTGGGGTGACAGTGCACAGAACAACATTCACGCCCACTCATCAGGGAGAACATTTGTTTCTAGAACAAAATGCAAGAGCCCCAGCAGGACACACAAGAGCAGGCAGTGTGAGGTTCTGGCCCGTTTCCTCTAAGGCAGAAGCCCAGCCCGAGGCCAGTGGGAACTGCACTCCTGGCTTCCCTACCTTCTTCAGAAAGCCTCAAAGTGCTCCCCCCATGGGGTATGCTTCCTCACCCCTCCTCTATGCTGAACCCCTTCCACTGCACCCATCTTGGCCATCTCAAGGGCCCACCTAGTTTCTCTACTCACAGACCCTCCTGTCCTCCCCTGACCTCCAATAGACAAAACATTTTTTTCCCCAATTCTCCCTGGTCCTAAGGCCAAGCTCTAGGTCCCCATCTGTCCTCCACTGCCCTGGAGCAACCCCATTCTTGTGAGGAGGGAGTCAGGAGGACTGTGTGGCCTCCACTCCACCTGCATCCTGCCGCCACAGGGCAACACAGCCTGTGCTGCCTGAGGGAGCAACGGGAAGGACCCAAGTGCAGCAAGATGACCCCTTTCCTTCTGGGCTGAGCTGAGGGCTTTGCCACCCCAGGACAAGATTTGTTGGGTCTGAGGCTTAGGAAGCAGCTTGGACCTCCCCCTTAGTCCATCCCCAGAAGCAAGGACACCAAGAAGCTCATGATTGGTTCCAGAAGCCACTTTTAAGAACTCCCCTCGGGCTTCAGAGGCACATAGGAGAGGAGTTCCAGGCCTTCCAAGGAGACTGGCCTGTCACCACCAACTGAATCACAGGGCAGACAGGTAAGCAGCCTGGGACCCCTTGTCAGGTAAGGCAGTGGAACAGAGCTGACACCCAGAGGACAGCACCCGGGCTGAGCTGCTCAGTGACCCGGGACTCTTGCAGGCACAGATGATGAGGATCTTTTGCTCTCAGATTTTCAACATGAGAACAGCAGCTATTTCTTCTCCATTAAGGAAAGTCAAATTCCCTTTAGGGAGAAGATCTAAGCCCAGGTAATAAGACAAGTTCCTGACACTTCTGACACTCAAAATGGAATTCTAAACATCATGATAAACACAAAACATGAAGCTAAACAGGTTCCAGAAAGTCTGTACAAACATCTCCAAGTGGTCAGACCACATGATAAATGTTGCTCTCTGTCTCTCTCCTGGACCCAGTCAGGTTCACAGTCCATCCCACGGTGTCCATGAAGTCTTCAAAGCTCCCCTTGACTTGCACACTAACTTTCTGCCAAATTTGACCAATGGCCTCAAGGGAGCTGATTAGGATGGGCACCCACACACAAACCAAACCAAGACCCACACTAGAAAACAAAGGCTAAATTGAGCCAAAGCAGAGAGCCCTGGGGTCACCTAATGAGGGTCAGAAAGCTAAGTTTGCTCTGCAGCCCCAACACAGAGGAATCCAAACATCTCTTCTAGCTTAGGTGGCACATACAGAGGACAACGAATGGAGGGGAGGCATATAGGAAGGATGCAGCAGGAAAGTTTCCACCCAGGTTTCCAAGGAAAGCTCCTTGGGTGGATAGAAGCTTGGGCAAAAGACAAAACCCAATAAACACATGTCCAGAAGGTGAGCTACCAGTTTTCTATTCTCTGTGGATTCAAAAACGAAGGAGAAAGGCCTGCTGAGTCCAGTCCAAGCCTGGGCTGTCCAATCCTGTTCTGTGATCGTGGCATCGCGACAGCTGTATTCTTTTCATGCCTCTTCACTTCCAAGTGGAAGGACTGCAGGGAAAGGCACATCACAGCAGCATTTTCCTGGGGTGAGTGGCTTCTTGGACCAGGTTAGATGTCCCCATGGATGACCATGGGAATACAGGGTTCTTGCATTCAAAGCTCCAGTGACAGTACACAGTCCCTGACCAGATGCTGAAGACTGGAACAGATTCGCCGGACTGCGAGCTCAGGCCAGCATCTGCTCTGCTCTCACCTCATGGGTGTCAGTCACAGAGGTGGTGGCAGCAGGAGGGCTCAGTAGAAGCGCTTTCGACTCTGTTCTTGCCATTTGTTGTAGAGTATGATACCAATGACAATGGCAAATACAGAAAACACCAGAGAGAAAAAGACGATGAGGAAGAGGGCCAGGCCACTCAAAGGCGGCAGTGGGGCTGTCACTGAAGAAGCAAGAGGGAAGCTCATCAGAAACATGCCACCCACTCAGTGGCGAGGGGCAACTAACAGGTGGCCTAGCCCCCAGGTTCCCATACCCACTTCTGAGGAGCTAGAGCTCACACTCCCCGCTTCCAGATGGCTCAACATTAAAATGAAGCACTACGCCTGCTGTTCATCGGTACATGGAAAGGCAGGGTAAGTGCTCTGAATTCTTCAGACCAATTACAGAGAAAGGACACCGCCCTGCATGCTGGGGGTGCAAGGCACCTCGACCTCAGGCAGCCTCCACCCCCATGGGACCACTCCCCAGGTCTCCGCACTCACTGTCAGGCAACTTCATATTGTCTACCGAGGGCAAGAACACGTCTCGATGCAGCTTCTCCTCTTCTGGGGTCCTTTCCACTGTCAGCTCAAACAACTTCAGAGAAATGACATCATGATTATCTATAAGACAAAGTAAGAAAGCTTATTCTAGCCACCAGAAAATGGGGCATCTCAGAATTAATATCTTGGTTCAAGTTTCTGATCCATGGTTAACTAGCAGCGACCTTAAAGTAATAATTGAGGGGCTGGGGACATAGCTCAGTTGGTAGAGTGCTTACCTTTCATGCACAAGGCCCTGGGTTCAATCCCCAGCACCACAAAAAAAAAAAAAAAAAAAAAAAAATAATTGAGCTGGGGTAATCCCAATGACTTTGGAGGCTGAGGCAAGAGGATTCCAAGTTCAAAGCCAGCCTCAGCGACTTAGCAAGGCCCTACGCAACTCAGCAAGATGGTCTCAAAATTTAAAAAAATAAAAATGGCTGGGGAATGTGGCTCAGTGGTTAAGCACCCCTGGGTTTAATTCCCAGTTATTAAAAAAAAAAAAAAAAAAAAAAATTGAAAACTCTTCATCTTCTCATCTAAAAATAAGGATGGGGAGGACAGGGCATATTTTATATTCTTCTGTTTTTTTAACCAACAAACATTCATTACTTGTATAATTAATTTAGAGATAATCTTATGAAAATTAAATGCCATACCATAACTAAAACCTTCTACCAGAGTGAGGGGGGAGAGAGCACTGTAGCTCTCCCTTGGTAAAGATCACACACATGATGCAAACACAGACAGAGCAGGAAAAGGTCTCTTGGCAGCTGTTCATGGGAGATAGGCAGAACACAGATTTGGCATGGAAGATACTGTCCCTCCGGATGCTACCTATTTCTCCATGGCTCCGGGGAATTATTACTAGTACCTAATATACCAGATCCTAATTGCCAGTACCTAATATACCAGATCAAGGAATTAGAAACTGGATTTCTCTTTCCTTCTCAAGCATCATTATAAACTCACAGATTTAAAAGTATTTTGTTTCAATGCACTGGCATTATTTTCCTGATATTCAACTCAACCCATCTTTGTCAGTGGGAGCTACTTAAGTTGGCTCCTGGGTCCTTTTAAATGAACCCAGAAGTTTTTGATATTTTCCTCACTTTTCTGGAAAGTTCCAGGCTTGTACATTTCCTGTCTCAGACTTGGCATCAGCCATTTCTTGAGGAAGTTCTGTTCCTTTCAGTGGGAATTGGTATGAAGAGAGCACAAATGTAAGTGTGAGGGGTACTTATTGCTTTAAGGTGGGTTATGGACTGGGGTTTGAATTTCTGGTCATTTCTATTATTATGATACCATCCATACCTGATAGCTGCTTGGACTACTAAAATCTTTTTTTTTTTTTTTTTTTCGTACTAGGGCTTGAACTCAGGGTGCTTTACCACTGAGCTACATGCCTTTCCTTTTTCTTACTTTATTTTTGAGACAGATTTTAAGTTATTGAGGCTGACCTCAAACTTATGATTCTCCTGGATCAGCCTCCCAAGTCTCTAGGATTACAGGCATGACCACTGTACCTGTTTAGCAGTTTCTTAGCTAGTATAAAACTGGCTTTATTTGGAAAAATGTGTTAGCTATCAGAGCTGAGCTTAAACTGTGGGACAGGATAAAAAGCCAGGGCAATGCTATTCACAATGCAAGGGCATGAGAGACATGGGCAATGTCTCAACAATGTCTCCGCACTTTTCAAAAAGCCACTGTACAACAAATGAGATGATGCCAACAAGAAAGGCCTTAGAATAAACACAATTTGCATTTAGGAGTTTTATATAGGCAGAAAGTACAGACTTACTAAGCTAGGAATTATCACTGAAAACCTAAGGCAAATACCTCCTTAGGATAAACAAAAAATTCCCTCTCCTGCCTTTTTTGGCAGCTGGGAACAACTTCCTATTAAGAAGGACATGAGGGGGAGGGGGGCCGGGCTGTGGCTCAGTGGTAGAGCTCTTGCCTAGCATGTGTGAGGCACTGGGTTCGATCCTCAGCACCACATAAAACAGTAAACAAAATAAAGGCATTCTGTGCATCTACAACTACAAAAAAAAAAAAAAAAGTACATCAGGGCTGAAGTTGTAGTTCCGTGGCAGAGCACTTGCCTAGCACACGTGAGGCACTGAGTTCGATTCTCAGCACCACATAAAAATAAATACATAAAATAAAGGTATTGTGTCCATCTACAACTATAAACTACAACTATAAAAAAGTCTATCAGTAAAAAGACCCCCCCCCCAAAAAAAAAAAGTATATCAGGGAGTCAACCTAGAAACCCATGAGCTCAAAGGAACACAAGGGAGTGATTTCAGGCCAGGCCTTCCGTCCCTGTGCTGAGGTTAACCCTGTCCCACAGCTTTGGCCTGCACAGTATTCAGATCCCTACTGCCCAATGAATCTCCATGGCAGGAAGCACACCAACGGCTGCCTGGAGCCAGGGCGGGAGGAATACTGCCTAGGGGCATAGGGAACTCCAACTCCTGACAGGTGATAGCAAGTTCCACATCTTTACTAGGAGGTGGTTATGCAGGTGCAAGTATCTGTAAAACTCTTCAAACTGTACACCTCTGATCTCTGGAGAGCATACCTCAATACAGTTGATTTCTTTTCAACAACAAAAAAAAAATAGTTTCCAGGGATTTTAAAATCCAAATATTTTATTTAAAAAATCCACATTTCCAGCTTCTCTTGAAAAACTGGAAGATCTCGGAGATTTGGCCTCATGAGCCCACATTTCCTTTTCTTTTTTTTGGATACTAGGGATTGAACTCAGGGACACTCAACCACTGAGCCACATCCCTGGCCCTTTTTGTATTTTATTAGGGTCTCACTGAGTTGCTTAGGGCCTCAATTTGCTGAGGCTGGCTTTGAACTCGCGATCCTCCTGCCTCAGCCTCCTAAACCACTGGGATTACAGGCTACTGCCTATTCCAAGGTGGGCACTTGTCTTTCCATTTTTCCACAAGAAAGTTCTATTTAAAAATCAAGCTTTATCCATAATAAAGTAATTAAAAGAACCCAAAGTTCGGTTCCTTATCTCTTCCCAAAAGATGTTATGACTGGGGCTAAAGACAAGTGGAAAAACAAGCACAAAGGGAAGCTATGACTGGGCACAGAGAGGATGAGAAACCAGAGAAGACAGAAAAGTGGGACCGGGCACTGCTGATGCCACAGAAGCCAAGGAAGGCAAGTTCCCGAGCCCGCAAGTACGTGGGCTGACCGAGGCCAGGAACAGAACACTGCAAGTAGCAAGGAGATTAGAAGTAACTTCCGTGAGAGCAGTGTGACAGTAAGGTAGAGACACAGGTTTGAGAACAGCCTGGGAAGGGGACTGAGGACCAGGAATAAAAAGCATCTATACACACAACACATCCAAAAGTCTGAGCAAAAGGGAGTCTGGGGGTCAGTCAGAGAAGGATGGCAGAGTTAAGGAGCAGCTTTGGGGTTTTGTTTTATTTGTCTTTTGTTTTTTTCAATTCCCTTGGAGACTGAACTAGGGGTGCTTTACCACTGAGCTATCCCCCCAGCCCTTTTAATTTTTTTAGTTCAAGACAGGGTCTCACTAAGTTGCTCAGGCTCACCTGGTAATTGTGATCCTCCGGCCCCTACCTCCCGAGTTGCTGGAATTAAAGGTATGCAACACTGCACCCAGCAAGGAGCAGCTGTTAGAAGAAGGGGAGCTGGGCACACTAGCAGGTGCTGGGAGAGGGCCTAACAGCAGAAGCGGGTAGAAGAGACAGGGAAGCACGGTGTGCAACACCCAGGCCGAAAGAGCCAGCTGGCTGAAGAGGCAAACATTCTGGGTGTTAGCACCCACCATCTCCTGGAGGCCACTATACCAGAACAGCCTGGCCTGGGTTCTGAAGGGATCTGGATGTGAGAATGTAGCATTCAGAGCTCCGCCTCCCAGTCAGGCTGTCCCCTCTGAGAGGGCCTCATAAAGGTCTGGGTACTTAGAAACCTTAGTCAGGACCAATGAAGAGTGCACACAGCAGTACCTGAGAGATCCCCAGTGATGGAGGAGGTGCCAAAGTAGTAGCCACGGGGCAGACGAACCCCAGGCACCTCAATGCAGTCCCTCCACTCATGCTTGCCATCGATATCCATCATTATCTAGAATAAAAAGAAGAAATCAATCAGGGACAGGCCACAGGAATAGGAGTAAGACAGCCCATACCACCAACTGGTCCACGATAGGGACTCACCGTCAGATGCCTCTTGACATAGCGAATCACAAGGAAGGTATCATAATGGAGATTGCGGACAATAGCTGTACATCCCCCCAGCTCTGTGGGCCGTCCATCTCGCTCATGATCATAGCTAAGGGAGCCGTTGTTCACCATGGCTGAGATGTAGGGGAACACCCGCTGGGACACAGAGGGAAAAGCAGACACAGTGAGGGAGGAAGAGCTCCTGGAAATGCCCACATTACTACAGGAATTTTGCACTTTACAAGCGGAGCCTCTTCAGCAGACCAGATGACCACTGTTCCTCATTAGCAGCCCTGGGGCACCCACAGTCAAACATTCACTCATGGGACATGGACCCAGGAAGCCATGAACTCCTTACTTACCTTCAGTAATTCTCTTTGTTCCTGATCTGGGGTGGGCCTGGGAAGGCCCCTGTGAGATTCTGGAGTTAGTTCAATTCCTCCCAGAGATCGCCATTTGGTTGGCACTTACATACTATCCAATATCCGGGGTTCCTATTTTATGTATATATTCCTATCTTTCCACTACCTCTTGGAGCAAAATAACCATTTATTATGGTTCTTCCCAGATCCTCACTTCAGTCCCATTCATCCCCCACTCTACTCCCCAGCTAAGTGTTTTGCACACAGCAGGTATTTTGAAAATACCTACTTGACTTGGCAGGGAAATCCTTCTATTCAGGATAGTTCCTTTCAAATTCTAAAATCCTACAAGCAGCATATGATGCTAAGTGGATTAAGACTCAGAAAGCACACTGCCAGAACCCAGCTGCTGGACAGGCTTAACCAGCCACGATGACTGTTCTTAGTCAAAAGCCTTTGCAGCCCAGTTAAGCCTCGTCCACACATAACTTCCTCCAATAATGCTAGTCATGAGAGGGCAAGAGTCCCCTCCCCCCACCACAGGGGAAAAACTAAAAGCTTCCCTATAACCGTTTCCTATCTATACCAATGATCTCTAACAGAGTTGCAGGAACCAATTCTTCCTTAAAATTGTTAATCTAACCCTTCTAGAACAAGCCCCATGCCAAGGCAACGCAGAGAGACAGGGTGATGAAGGGGAGGTAACACGAGGCATGCCACTCTGTGGGTGAGCTCCCTGCGGTCTCAGCCAACATGCAAGGTGGAGATGCAGTCGGGACCAGAGACTGGGGACCCCTGAGACAACAGCCACATGGACTCTAAGCAGCAACGAATGTTGGATGGACACAAGGGAATAAGGGATGGCCATGGGGGGTGGTCAAGAACTGAGTACCTGGACTCCTGGAGAGTATCGCCTCTTCTGGGCCTGAGAGGGTCCAGCAGGTTATTAGACAAGAGAGGGCACAGAAGACAGAAGACCAAGTCAGAAAGCAGCAGCCATGGGGGAGCTGACCCAGCTGCAGTGGATGAACAAATAAACTGAAATCCCCAAGCAGAATTTTAGGTTCCATGAAGGGCATTCAGCAAGTCCTGGCACCCCCTCAAATTATATGCAAAGTCATATGCACAAGTGTTTGGGCATCTTTTTGAGAAGGTCTGATCCTGTCATCAGATTGTAAAAGGAGTCCACTAGGAAGACCTCTCTATTCTAAGGGTCCTGAAGCTTTCAGAAGGAACTGTATAAAAAAACAGTGTCTCACTGGCCAGACAGGCCGTACCTATGTGCGTCTCTGGGAGTCAAACAGTCACAAGGGAGACAGGAAAGGCAAACAGGGCTAAATTCTAAATTCAAGATGTCTTTTGCTACCCAGGGTCTTGAGATACAACTCTTGCCCAGAAGACAAAAACCCCACTGTTGGAGGAACTATGAATCAGCTTTAATCCAAAGGAATCACCCTCTATTTGAGCCAATGGATGTTTATTTTCAAACAACTGTTGTCATTCTCACCTACAACATATGGGCAAGGAAGAAGCCCTGTGGGAGCACCATAGCAGGAAAGACCTAGCAGATCCTCAGGCTGGAGGGTATCAAGCTTTGTTCCAGACAGCCTCCACGCTCTGAAGGAACAGCATCAAGAGAAAGCTACACAGACTCAACTGAGTCCTGCCCTGTGGGAAAGGTGGGCAGTACTCAGTGAGCATCCACCACCAGCCAGGCACTGTTCCAGATGCCGGGGTCCAAAGGAAAACAAGACAGATGGGGATCTGCTCTCATGGAGCTGACATTTAAGTGAAAGAAACAAACAATAAGCAGATAAATAAATGTTTTCAGATGGTGATAAATGCTATGATGAAAATAACGTAGGAACATGACAGAGACTGACGTGGGAACTCTCTGAGGAAGCAACACCTGAACTGAGACCAAGTACTTAGAGGGAGGCCACCACCAGATATGGGGCACAAGAAGCATGAGGTCGGCAAACATGAGGAACTCAAAGATAACAAGTGTGTCTGAGCTAATGAGGAAGTGGCCGGGGTGGGGAGGGGCAGAAGCCACAGCAAGGAGTCAGGTGGAGGCCCCAGAGCAGCTCCCCAGCTGTTTTTACTCCAGTGCCAGTACAGGATACAGAAAGGCATGCAGCCAATCACCAGATGATTAAATTGCCATAAAATTACTCTTCTACACTATCATTTGTGACAAGAGAACTGCAAGCATATCATGCAGTTTATATAGAAAAGGACTTCTGAGAAAAAACTCGCAAAGTCAGTGAACAATTAAAGAAAAGAAGGGATTAAAAATATCTTGGAGAGCTCTGATGTCCCCACAGCTTGCTTCCTGTATCACCTCTAGTGCCACCCCCACCCCCATCACAAATTTAAGCTGAGCCAGGTGCCATGGTGTCTGCCTATAATCTCAGCTACTGGGGAGGCTGAGGAGGGAGGATTGCAAGTTCCAGGCCAGCCTTGCCAACTTGGCAAGACCCTCTCAAAATAAAAAGGGCTGGGGATCTAGCTCAATGATAGAGTGCTTACCTAGCATGGCCTGGACCTTGGGTTTGATCCCCCGTACAAAAAAAAAAAAAAAAGGTTAAGCTGCAACCTTACAGAGTGCCTAGGACAGCAACCTTCAGCCTGAGAGTACCTTACTCTTTCCAAGAATGGTGTGACATCCAATTGTGTGATCACCGCCAGGTATAACCAGCACTTCAGGATCACCTGGGAGAGCTTTCCATCTGCACGCCTATGTGAGTGCCCTAGTCAGTGTCTCATTCATTAGGTCTAGAATGGGGCACAGGAGTAGATATTTTGTAAAAAGCACCACAGCACACGGATGTGCAGCCAAAGAAATGCTGCACAGTCACAGCCCCATGGCTCCACAGATGTCATTATTCTGCTTCAGCAATTCACGACTTGCCTTCAACTTTTAACCCCACATTAGTAGCTAGTCGTTAAATGCCGGCCTACTTTCCATCCCTAGGCAGAAGTTCCCGAATGTTTCTTGGGTAGCCACTAATTTCACACAGTAGTGGATTTTCCCCCTGGAAAGTAGTCTGTAGCTAGAACCAAAGGTTGAAAAATCACACCAATTCAGGCAAAGTGGTAGTTTCATTTCTAATTTAACAGTCACCAGAAGTCAGGAACTCCTACCTATTGTCCAAATGATGATTTGCAGGGTAGAGAAATGTTTTTGACTTTTTGTACTACAAGGTCACTACAGGATCATTTTAGAGGATAATTTTGCCTCTAACACATGTTGTTTGAACAATGAGCTTGTGGATTCAGTGCTAAAACTCCATGGATCCCAAGTACACAGGATGTAAACCCTTAGATACAAAAAAGACGGACTGCCAGGCATGGTGGCACATGCCTGCAATCCCAGCAGCTCTGGAAACTGAGACAGGAGGATCGTGAGTTCAAAGCCAGCCTCAGCCAAAGCAAGGCACTAAGCAGTGAGACCCTGCTGGGGATGTGGCTCAGTGGTCGGGTGCCCCGAGTTCAATCCTCAGTACTCTCCTCCACCCCCAGAAAAAAAAAAGATAGACTAAACCAGGTACAGGGATGCACACCCAAATCAGAGCAACTCAGGAGCCTGAGGCAGGAGGATCGCAAGTTCAAGGCAAGTCTCAGCAGACATAGCTTGGCTGTCTCAAAATAAAAAATATAAAAGGGGTGCTAGGGCTGTAGCTCAGTGGTAGAGTGCTTGTCTAGCACATGTGAGACACTGGGTTCGGTCCTCAACACCACACAAAAATAAATAAAAGTAAAGGTATTGTGTCCATCTACAAAAAAAAAAAAAATTAATAAATAAATATATAAAAGGGTTGGGGATGTGGCTTAGTGGTAAAGCACCCCTGGGTTAAATCCCCAGACCAGAAAAGAAAAAAGATGGGCTGGTGGTGTACCTCATGGCATAGCACCTGTCTCACATGTGGACCCTGGGTTTGATTCCCACGGTGACCAAAAAAAAAAAGAAAAACAGCACACAAAGTCTCTATGATCAGAGGCTTGTGCTGTTCTGACGGCTACATAACCTGTGTGGACCCCATCACCTCTTTGAGATTCTACTGGAAACAAAGAGAATCCTGTACAGCTCACTGGTTTAACCACAGGATGAAATGTGTTTTAAGCATTTAGTACAGCGTCTGGCATTCAGGAAGAAGTCAATAAATAATCAATTGACAGTTGAACTAGTAAATTTCTAGATACAAAGTTCAATGTCCAACATTCATTAAGGGCAGTAATTCTCAGACCCTTGGCTGTCATGAATCAGTAAAATTTCCAAAAGCATTTTGAAGCATAATCAGCTCAGTGTTTTGTTTTCATAGTATATTAAATATATTGATATATAATAATAACAACACAATCATCTATAGTACACACCATTTTACAAAAGGTCATTTTAACACCAAAAATGAAAAGGGACTATGTAGCTTCATAACACAGCAACTGAATACTCTTAGTACTTATGCAAAATTACTGCACTGTTCTGATTCTTGGGCCAGTGAAAAGCTGTTGCCAATAGCACGAGTTTATGATCCAGCATCTGAGAGCCTCTCTCTTTCAGACCATACTTCAGTCTGCTAAGCTGCCCATTTGCTCTCTGAAATGCCAATGTGAAGAAAAGAAGAATGGGAAAGGAGGAGAGAATGGTGCCACAGTACTACTGCCAAGATGTCTGCAAAATGTTCCTGAGGAATCCCCTTAACAGTATGAACAGCAGCCAGCATTGACTGACAGCGTGCACTGTGCCAGGCACTGGCCTCAGTACCCAACACACCTGTATTCCCTAAATTC